CTCAAGGAGAAACACAGTGCTGATGAAAGGCACTGTCATTTCCAGTGAATGCAGTCTGCCAGGGAGACCAAAAGTCTGGATTGCAGGATGAGTTAACCACTTCCTGTCTGTTATCTCAACCAGAAAGAGAGCCAGGCTCTGGCTGTGGGTACATACACACCTAGCACTATCAATCCCCACTCCTCCCGCCTTCCACAGCAGTTTCGCTGGCTTGGATTAACTCCGCAATCAGTTCTGCACAACAGAAAAGCAAAACTGGTGCAAAGGTCCCTGGACTCACCTCTGCTCCCTCCTCAGGGGATTCACTTCAGCCAGCTGTGCTCCAGTCCTGGGAAATGGGCTTGGCAAGTGGGCTACCATAGGTGTGATCCTAGAGCCCAACTTCCAGGTTACATGCTCAAAAAAACTGCATTTGTGCTCTCTGAAACACCCCCACAGTGCAAACCACGAGAGCAGTGAGTGGAAGAAATACAGATGTTTGCCCCAAACATGCACTCCTGATGACTACTAACTAGCTAATACAGGAACACCTAATTACACCTCAGTTACAGTTCAGATTCACAAACTGCTACAGAGAAATTACTGCCAGACTTCCTCACAAGGTGTCTTCAAGGAGGAAGGCAATTTGCAGCTAAAGGGATATACAACTTGCATGACAGCACACTACTTTTTATATTTAAAGCCCATACACACAAATAATAGCTCAGAATTAAGAAAGCAGCAAATTTGATTCCTACCAGCTATTATGGACTTACTGCTGGGGTTTTGCAGAAGCCTCTCATTCCCTTTCCATCTTGGATGAAAATTGTAGAATTTTATGAAGGATTTAGGAGTTACTTGATTAATGACAGTAATCATACATGGGTATAAGTTTAAACTAGCTGCTCAGCTGGTTGACTTTCTTGCAACACTATTTTTCTGAATTGAGAATTCAACTCTTGACAAAAGTAATGCTTTTTGATTATACTAGGCTTAGCATGGCTTTTATACTTTCCCACACTGAAAATATAAAAAAAATTTGTACGGCATACTTTCTTGGATATTTATACACAGGGTATTCACTAACCTTTTTCGAGTCACTAAATTTTATTTAAGAACTAAATATTTTCAAATGCCTTGCAGGTTAATAACTATTTTTTGTAGTCAGTTAAGAATGTTTCATCAATATATAATAATAAGCTTAGGCAAATAGATTCTTCTGATGCAAATTTGGTAAGAGTCTGTAATATTACCAAATCTCTACACTCCCTAACAACACTGGTTTTAAACAAGTATCCAAGATTTGACATTACTACTCCTCAAGCTAGAAAATCAGATCATTTTGGCCCTGTCACATTAGGGACAGAAGTCCACTGCTGGGGTAGTTATGCAACTTCAGTTTCCCTGCAAAGTGAACTGAGATGCTGATTTTTTTATTCCTTTCCCCACATGGCAGAAGTGCATTGCAGGGACTTGAGGGAAAGAAAGCATTTCTTAATTCCTCTCTGAATCTGCTTATTCTTCCCTGCACTTGAAGCAAATTGAAAGAGACCATATGAATACCGAGTGACCAGCCTGATTAAAAATCAGAATTCTTGTAAAATGATTTGACATGGAAAAGAAGTTACTCAGTTAATACAAAATTCTTGTTGTAATGGATACATTTGTATAAAAGTCTCCTCTGACTCATCCTGCAATATATGTATTTTTAAAACAAAGAGAGCCAATGCTTATATGAGAAAAAAAATATTTAAAAAATCCAAATTGCCTTCCTCTTGTGTATCTGATATTTGATGGTTTAAGTCAGTTTGGCTTATGAAGGAAATACAAAATTTTTAAAAATAAATCAGCATAGGAAAACAAAGTTAAGCTTCACTTGAATAATGATCTATGCATGAGCATTAGAAAACTATTGCATTATTATCAGAATCATGCTGAATTATTATGCTATTTCTGATTTCTATAGCAGGTCAAAAAATCTCACATTTCCATATGGGGATGCCTGCTGAAGACAGATTTTTTGTTTTAATGCAATTGGAACTTGCCAACTGACATAAATATCTTTGCAAAGTTTTTTACAGCATAGCTTCCATAATCTTTTGAAACATCAGATAATTCCTTTCGTACAGAAGTATAATTTCCAGGAGAAAAGTACTCTGGTTCTTGGTTCAAACTTTCAGTTCCAAGCTCTAGACTATTTCTGCACTCTTTGAAGTCTAGCAGAGCAGAGCCAAGACCATATACATTTCAACCAGAAGAGAAATAACATGCTATTTGGTTCTTCTGCTCCCCTACAAGAATTAAAACCAGGATGATCCTATGAAACACAGAGTTAACAAAAATAAACATAGAATTAAGTTTTAATATCTTGCAATACATGGAGAACAGAAATTGAGATACCACTGAATAACCCAGCTTTTGGTCTCACCAGAAATGAAATAGGAGATGTGAACAAACCAAACATGAGAAAGAGTAAAAGAATGAATCAGACCACACAAGGGAGGCTTTAACAGAAGCCTTTGCTGCCATGGGTTAATTTCACCAGTGCCTCTTTCCTACCCCATTCCACCAGGGCACTGATTTGTATACATGCATACCCCTATGTATGTACACACACACAGAAACACAAACACAGCCTCTGCAGCCTCTCCAGTTAGATACTAATGCAGCCAAGTCAGCTGGGACTGAGGAGCCAAGTGCCATTTATCCTGACCCCAGCAAAAGCACCACATCCATTTGCTACACTTTGCAGACTTAAATTTGTAAGGTGCTTCCAAGAAAAGTTCCAGCTAAGAGAGAGAGAAGACCAAAATGCCTGCTTCATTAAAGAGTCACATGGGAACTAAGTCAACAATTAATCCCCACAGACGTCACTGTGCAAACATCCAGCCCAAGGAATTCCAAGTCTGTTGGCCACAGCTACACACGTTACAATACACATGCAAAATTAAAACATTCCATACTCCAGTCTCTTGCCATAGTTCCATTTTATATTATAACTCACCCCTTTTCAGCTAGAGAAAATACAGTACATCTGAGAAGGTAACAAGAAATATCCACTAACATCTTTCCCCTATTCCTGGGGAAGACAGACTAGCAAAGGGAATGACAACCATACCATGTTCTATTAAATTACTCAGAAGTACATTTTACATGGGTTTAACACAATCTGGTCTACTAGAGGAACATATGTGTTAATTACAAACAAAAACTTTCTGTTCTACATAATTGAAAAAGAAAAAAATATTCCATGCTCTAAAACAGGATATACATTTAAATTTGTAAGAGTTTTAGAAACTGACATATGGAATATAATAGGAAAGAGTATTGGAAAGCATCAAGGGAAAAGACTGTCAATACTGCAACAGCCAGATTTGAAGTTCTCTGCCAACTTTACTAATAGTATAATAAGAAAAAGGGTTGAGGCTTTCCAATTAAAATATAATGCTGCTGCTAGGAACTTGCATAGGAACAAGAGCATGGTTTGACAAAGTAAAACTCCTGGGCTTGGGACATTAGTATGGACACTACACCTTCACAGCCATTTCTTTGGTAGCAGTTGTTTTGGACAAGGCTGTGTTTCTGCCCAAGCCAGTTGTGTTCCCTGTCCCTGTCACAGTCCAGCTGCCTGTGAACTGACAAGAGCAACAGTGCACCCATCTGTTACTAGTACTGGAGTGGGGACCAGTGCCCTGGGCACAGCAGGAACCTGGGGACATAACTCTTATGATGCTCATGTGTCAATAACTTCCTGCTGACTATACCTAAACAATACTGGGAAAACACACAAACAGCCCCACAGGCACGAGGGAAATAGAAAATTACTACTGAAATGCATTTTAAGCAGTATGAATTACTAAATCAAACATCAGCAAACCAAACTAGGTAATACTGACACATTTTTTTTCAACTGAGAACTCTGGGAATAAATGACTCTTACAACTACTCTAGACAGGGATCTCATAAAAAGAATCAAATGGAGTAACCAGAGGCTCATAAATCCAAGTCATTAACCTTATTTTCCTTCAGAAGCAAGAACAGAATTAAGTTCTGCAAAAACATAAACAGTCAAAAAGTTTGTTTCTTAAATGCTTTGACTTCTGTGAACATTAGGAACACTCCTAACTACCCACAAGTATTGCAAGTATCCTGCAAATTTTTTCATCACTTGAAACATAGAATTATTTAGATTGGAAAACACCTCTAAGATCACCATAGCTATACTCATTTCCACACACCTTCATTCTAGAGGCAGCTACAGGTCACTGGCCACAAATACTTTGTTTACTTAATTTATTCTCTATATTAAATACAAATATAAAAAGATGAACATTTAAAATATTTCATTTAATTAAGTGAATTAGCATCTTATTCTATCATACTGCGATTTGCTAAACAAACATATGTAGACATCCTTTTTACAGGTAATTTTTTATAACTCAGTTCCAAACAAAGCAGAAACCCCATGACTAAGGAGCTTACTAATAGAATCATTCATCACTTGAACTAATGTTTTAATTAGCAGTTATATAAAGCAAAGACCTATTTTTTGTTGTGTGTTTTACATTGACTTAATGTGCAACAGGTGACTCTTCAATGTTATTAGGCTGAATTGTCTGCCATTAAAACTTTGTTTTCAAGATTTTGACCAAAGATTTCTGCCCAAGAATAATGTTTTCAAACTTTTCCAACACAGAAATATTCACTTACGGTCAGTGCTGTAAAACTGAAATCCAAGTGATCCATTGTTATTGCTATATTTAAAAATGTAATATTTTAACTAAGTAGGAAGATAGGTGTATTCTAGCATTAATACAGAAGAAATACACCTGCACTGACAGCTAATGACACAGAAAAAAAATCCTAAACCAAAACAATTATAAACTTCCCAGTAGTGAATCCCATTGAACTCCTGTGAAAAATACTTCAACATCATGATGCATTTTAAAAGACAGATCTGTAGGTACTGGGAGTGCACAGATGGAGAGAGGAGATGTAACACACAAGCTTGGAACACTCACCATCTGAATTGGTTTTTTGTGGAGATCTCGTTCGGTCACCAACTTTTCTTGGTCAGTGACATAAAGGCCTTTTTGTGCCAGGGCTTGTATAACAGCATCATGACCTAGAAGTGGTTTTGCAGCATCACTCTTGAGAATAAGGCTCCCAGCACGACAGTAGAGCTCGGCAGACAGCAGCAAGTTCACAACAGGTGGTTTGATGTGCTCCTGGTCATACTGGTCTGTGTAAAACGGCTCTCGGAGCTCTTCTGGAACATTCTCTACAAAACACACAGAGCACAAGTCAGTATCAGAAAGGACAGTTAGACTAGTAGGGGATTTTTTAAAACTATATGTCAACTCAAAATTATGTTAAAGAAAGCTTACCCAAGGGGAGTAAGCTTACCCTATACCAGCAATTATGTTATAAAATTCTGGGAAAAATTTCATACAAAGGTAATATTTGAGCTATAAATAGAAACTTGAGAAAAATTCAAAGTGCCTCACATTGCAAAGGCCACAACAGAACACCAACCTGTGGTTTACATCATCATTACATTAAAATTTCTTGGCTTCTCCAAATACATGCCCAAACATTCCCATCTCCTTTGGCATGATATTATATAGGTCAGACATATAAAGGCAGAACAACACCCATTTAAACACAAACCCTGGACTCTATTACAATAACAAAATAGAACTGAAACATTTTGTTTCAGCACAGAAAACTTCAAGACAAAAAGCAGCCTTCTAGTTTCTGTATATGCAGGAGAATTTGATTACTATACTGTTTATTTCAAAGGTCACACATCACAGAATGATGACAATTCAGCAGTTAAGTATAAATATATGGGCTTTTTACTGAAATTAGAAGAATGGAGAAAGAATAAAAAATATTATCACTTTCTTTCTGACAAAATACTGAGGTCTTATTGGCCTTGTTGTGTTACTGACTTCCTTTAAAATTCTGGTTTTAATCCTTTTTCAGTGAGCTGGCTTAGCACCCACAGAAAGCTACACAAGATTTTGTCAAATCTATGCTGAGATTTTTAACTCTAAAATTAGCATTCCAAGACAATCAACAATTTTTTCAAAGACTGTACATAACACAATACAGGCAGACTATAATTGTCTACCACAAATGTAGCAACTATAAATTAATTAAATATGGTATTAGATGAAATTAAATTAAATCATGAGTCAAGTGGAAAATAACTTTCAGATTTTCAGGCATACACACTGCAAGATGCTTCGTTTTCCTCCTGGAAGAATTTCATTCTCTATTGTTGTAAAATTAGTTAAGCCAACAACATTTATGGGATAAAGAGCATGTGATTCTTTTCCTGAGTCCAAATGCAAAAACCCTATTTAATTGCTAGAAGAAAAAATAAGTGTGTAGGAAAGCAGTGATGCAACTCAAGTTTCTACCCTTTGCCTTCAGCTGGATAAATGGCTAAACAGACAAGGTTTGAATCAGTCTGGAGTAAACAGCCCAGCAAGGGTGGAGCAGGAGAAGAGAGAGAAAAAACAGAACATGCCATCACAAGATAATGACAGATTATCTTCTTCCTCATACATATTCTATTGCAGTTCATGTGCTTCCATGATGGGCTCTGCAAGGTGCCAGCTGCCTTCTAGTTGTGAGGGACGACACGCTTTGCAGAGTGCAAAAAGTGAAAGAAATATTAACACATGCTTTAAATGCTGGAAGGGTGGTAGGAAAGGGTAAGATATTGCTGCTTCTTTTGCCAATTCAGAGTATCAAGGGAAAGAGACATAGTTTGTCATTTGCTTAAACCCTGAGCCTAAATTTGGCAAGAAAACTGACAGCTTTGCTTTAGAATACAGATCAAAATATACCATCAGCACAACTACTCTGCCCTTTAAAACACAAATCTAATGCCTTTTCTTATCATCTTGTAAAAAAGCCCTACTTTTTTACAAGACGATATAAAACTGCTAACAAAAATATCTACTGGTGTCAGGAGATATTTCCATCTTCTCTTCCACTTCCCAGCTTCACCTGCTGACTATGATCCAGATGATGATCCAGAGTCATCCAGTCCAACACAAAGCATTTCTAATTGAGGATCTCAGAGCTGCTAGATACCTGCTTCCCCAGGTATTGTTTTCATCTGTCTTAATTCTACCTGACCTTCTTTCTTTTCCCTGTTTGACTACACTCTATTTAAATATTAAACTTGTTATTTCTGAAGTCCCTAATGATCCATCTCCAGTATCAGGAGCTCAATTCTCATCAGGACTTTATCCTCTACAATTCCAAATGCCAACTCTTAAAGCATCTTTATGCTACTTCTTCAAGCTAAAGAGGATTAGAAAACATTTTTTTGTAAATATCTCACAATGCACAGGCAGCAGATTTTGAAAGAGACAAAAAACCCCACAACAAAAACCCAACCCAACCAACCAAATAAAAACCCAAACCAAAATCCACACACCCCTGTTTTGAAGCAGATGAGACTTTCAATGGGGATGAGGGGAAGCAGGGAGGAACAAATAAAGCCATTTGTAATTTCTTAGAAGACTTAAAAAAGCCTCATTCCTATATGAAAAAACCCTCTTGAGGCAGGAGTACTTAGCTCCACTCAAACAGAAGTCACATACTCTGTGGTTCAGATTCACTGAAGACAAAGACAGATTTCAAGCCTGAAAATGTGAGCCAGAAGAGAAATCTCAAGACAGTAAATAACAAACCCAATGCCTGTTAATTCTGTTCTTCTGTATCACTGAAGCACATAAGAAAGTGACAAGATGCAATAAATACATTTATCATTAAAGAATGACATCCACTGCTGGGATTTCATAATTAAAAACTCAATACAGCTAAAAAACCCAAAATCAACATGATAACTAGCAAAGGCAAATGGAATTATTTATAAAGCTTAGTTCTGCTTCTGAAAATATAGAAAAAGACAGAATGACATCTATGCCATTTCTTTTACTTCTTTGGTGTACACAAGAATAAATCTGGAAGAAATACTTACTGGTTTTCATAAAAATAAAACCAGAAAAGTTAATTAATTAGAAAAATCAAATAAGGAAACAAAGGGCTAGGAAGAGAAGCTGTGGCTACAGGCATATTCTGAATGTATAAAAAATGTGAAAGCATACAAACAAGAAATCTCTAGTGCAACAAGATCAGAATTCTTCACAAAAATTCCTGTCAGACTTCCCTCTGCACAGGCAGAAACATGGCACTTTCCCCCACTTCATAACATATATTAAACTGTTTGATATCAGAATAGCTCTTGATAGAAGATTCAAGCTGTGCTCTTACATAAGAGTTTAAAAAGGAAACAAAACCCCCCACAGCAGATAGGTAACAGACACAGAAAACTATCTCAGAGTAGAAGTCCTTCCAGAACTGGCATGTGCTGCCTCTGGAGTCCTGTGGCAGGGAATTTCAAGGCTCCATCCAGTTCTCAGCAGATTACCAGCACAATCAGCAGGGTCAAAAGCCTTTATTAACAATTCTGTCAGGACTAGAGATTGTTAAACAGGCTCTGCTAGGCAGAGAAGAATCTTAACACTAATCTGCAATGCGTGCATTTTACCAGTCTTCCTTTGCCCAGCTGACAAAGAAGACTCATTCAGGATTAAACTCTGAGGCAAATGACCCATTTTAAAAGAAATACCTTGTTGCACATATTGCCATAAAATACCATCTGACCTTGAAATGCCTGCTAATTATGTCAGAGGGGTGTATGGGGACACTGAGTGCTGAACACGAGCAGTGCAGGTGACACCAGGAGACTGGGGACAGTGCTGGAGACAAGAGGCAGGATCTTCCTGCACTCTGCCAGCACCAACAGGCCTTGGAAACACACACCTGGATAAAGGCAGGGCCTGTGGGCTCATGCAAGGGAAAAGCTTTTCAAGAGACCACGAGCATGGGTGCAGGTTGCCTGGGGACCCAGCTGTGAAACTGCCATCCACAGGGACTTTCAAAACAAGGCCCTGAGAAATCTCCTCCAACTTTGAGGCTGGCCCTTCCTGGAGAAGGAAGCTGAGCTAGATGACCACCCTATTTTTTCCTAGAATTGTGAGCAGGACCACAGCTTTGGAAATCATTTTGACATTTTGAAATTTGTAAATATTGTACTATGAAGAGAATAAATGAAGCTAAAAGGCAAGTTCAAGACACAGAGAAAAGAACAAAAAAGAAATAATACCACATTAGCCCAAGTCTGTAACTAAATTTAACCACCGAGCTAACTTCAAAAAAGTAGTCAATGTATCTTCAGGTGATTTTTATAAATGATCAATGAATGAAAAGTCCTGCAGATGCTCTTTTTAGAGAAGAAAATAAATAAAAAAAAGTAAGAGCTTATTCAAAGCTTTAAAGCAAATGCAGGATAATCATTGCTCCCTGTTGTGGTTTAACCCTAGTTCCAACTAAGTTGCCCAGCTGCTTGCTCTTTACCCTACTCTCCCTGCTGGGATGGGAGGATAGGGAGGAAAGCTGGAAAAAGGTAGATCCTGCAGGCTGAGATAAAAACAGTTTAATAACTGAAATAAAGTAAAACATTATAACAATAATAACAATGGAAGGGAAATAGAGACAGCCCATTCCCAAGCAGCTCTCAGCCCCTCCCAGGCAGCTCCCCCAGCCCATGCTGGGCACAGCAGCCATGGTTTGCAGTGTCCCTGGGGCCAGCTCAGCTCAGCTGTCCTGGCCACGCTCCCTCCCAGCTCCTCCTGCACCTCCTGGCTGGCACGGGGCACAGAGGAGTCCTTGACTTAGAGAGAGCACAGTGAGCAACCACTGAAACACCAGAGTGTTATCAACAGTGCACTCACTCTGAATCCAAAACACAGCCCTGCACCAGCTACCAGCAAGAACATTCACTCTATTCCAGACAAAACCAGAACACTCCCCACTGTGAGACAGAAATGCAACTTAATTTTCCATTTCAACAGACCATTTTAAAGGAAAGGAATGGTCTAAAATTAATTCATGCATAACACTACTGAATTTACCTGTAAAAGTTGCTTTATAAGAAAACCTCCCTGCTCAGATAGGCATGAATTACTCCTTGGAAGACAGTATGAATTTGTTCTTTGGAAAAAACGGCTTGTGTTAACATGAAAAGTCTACATTTTCTTTAAAAACAAATTGGTTTTTTGTAAAGTTTCCATGCTTCCACAGAGATGAATACAATCCTTTACACAACTATTGAGTTTTTCAACTTTATAGCAGTGAACAGTTTCAGATTTATGAATGCTTGCTTTAAGAATGTCCAAAAGCTCAGAAGTCTTT